TAAGTTTTTATTAAAAAAATTAAACTTTTTAATAAAAACACAGGCAAATTTGCCTGTGTTACAATTTAAGGGATATTTATTAATTTTATTAATACATACTAATAACTCTCTCTATTTCTTTATAATTTAGTTTGTAAGTATATTCACTATACATTCAAATAACTATTTAAGGTTACATATATGCATTCTTTGATTTATTTCACTTGCATTGTCATTATTCAACGTGGAAGTACTAAGAAATTATAATTAAAATAAACTATTCAACTTTATATATATATCATTCGATTTAGGTTAAATTTATAAATCAGGCTATGTTCATAGAGATATTCATAGCGGTAATATTTTACAAGATAAAGTTAAAGAGCAATCTTATATTTCAATATTAGGATTATCAAAAAAGAAAAATAAGCATAACATTGATGGAATAAAAATTTTAGATTCATGTCTATGTCGCACCTGAAGTTCTGAAGAAATTTCAAGCTACAGAAGCAATTGATATCTATGCTTTAGACATTATTATGGCTAAAATATCAACTGGAAAAATACCCTTTTATGATGAGTAATATGATCATTGCCTTATTTTCAAGATTTTGGAAGGAGTTCAACCAGAATCTGCTGTCATTACTCCTGATTTCTATGTTAGACTGGATAAGAAATGCATGAATTTAAATCTAGATGTTTTTTGTAAAATTCAAAAATAATATAGTATTATAAAATAGAGTGAAAATGTTGAAAAAGATAAAGTTAATGAAGTTGATAATGTTAAAGATGATGATAACAAAGTTAAAAAAGATAATAAGATTAATAAAATTGATAAAATTGAGTTTATGGAGATGTTTATGATGAGGATTATAGTGATTATGAGAAATATGATGTTGTTGAAGCTGTTGGAAGCAAAGATGATCAAAATGATGATATTAATGATGAAAATCATAGTGATTATTAGGAAGAATATAGTAATTATGAGGAAGAATATAATAATTATAAGGAAGAATATAAAGGTGATAATGTTAATGAAGTTCATAATGATTATGAGAAAGAATATAATGATGATAATATTAATGAAGTTCATAATAATTATAAGGAAGAATATAATGATAATAATGTTAGTGAAGATAATAATGAGAAAGAATTCTGATGATAGTTATGAATTTAAATCAAAACAAACATAATTTTTAAGGTTGTGTTTTAAAAATTTGCCATCCCTAGCATACACTGATAAGTGAATATATAAAAAATTAAACTCAATATACAAAAACTCTATATAAAATTATATCATATTTAATAAAATAACAAATAATAATAAAATAAAAAAGCATAATTGTCGTGGTTAACTTTGGTGCCCCAGATATTCATAGCGCAAGAGTTAGTGATCATGATCAGGATTTGCATAAATAGCATGAATTGGGGTTGTATAGAATTAATTAAAAGTTAAATTAGTAATTGCATAAACAATATAGTAATAATTAGCGATTAGTAATAATAGCAATTGTATGAGCGATGAGAAAGTATGTAATAATCAGTAATGCAAAGTAGCGATTAGTAATTAATATAAGGTATTGATCCTGAAAGAGAAAATATCTAACTTGGTAAGCTTGGTAAGATTTAAGCTTTCAAACTTTGAATTACTTTAGTGAAATACAGTTTTAGTAAATACACTGTTGTCTGTGTGAATACCTATCAGTAGAAGGCCCAGTATGATACACAGTCATCAAAGATATTAGCCAAGTGAGTAAAGACCAATAGCAAAGACCAAGAAGTACATGGTAGTTCAGAATAAATCATGACAATAATATTAAAATAATACTATATAATTAAATATATAAATAAATAACAAAATATTTTAAAAATTAAACTTTGTTTACTAATATCAAAATTGCTTTTGAAACAAATATATCAAAGTTTTATATACTATGTTTGATCTTTTAATATCTAACATAAAACCACCATTTTAAATATATACTAGTGTAATATTAATAAATCTTCTGTGCTGATATTAACTTGAGACATCTTGCAAAAAAACTAAAATTTGGTATTATAATTTCTCAATAACTATCTGTTCAAATTTAATGAAACTTTTTTTATTTTAATTCTGTGAGTTTGTAGAATTAAATAAAAAAATTTATTTGAATCTAAATATGTAGCTGTTAAGAAATATTGATTAAAAGTTAAAAAAAAAATTACTTAATATTTGCTTTATCAAATTTGATCAATTTTTATTTTATTTTAATTCTATTAGATTATAGAATTAAAATAAAGAAATTTAGACCAAATTTGGTCAGGTAAGTGCTAAGTAATCTTTGTTCAAAATTTAGACACCTATAAAAAAAGAAGCTGCACTAATTTTTTTAATTTTTAATCAATATTTCTCAACAACTACATATTTAAATTTAAATACTTTTTTTATTTTAATTTCACAGACTTACAGAATTAAAATAAAAAAAGTTTTATTAAATTTGAACAGATGGTTATTGAGAAATTATTATTTAAAGTTTAAAAATGAATAAAATTTACCCAATTTTAGTTTATTTCAAGTTTTTTTAAACTTATAATGTTTTTCATGTAATAATATTTATGAGCATTATTTAAACCATGTCCCAAATTAAACATAATTTGGGTTAAATTTTTAAACACCTCTGCATGTTATTTCACAAAAATATAATAAGATTTTTTTATTCTAGAAAGATTTTAAGGAAATAGTAATTCTAAAATAATTTTTAGATAGTATAAACAGTTATTTATTTTGTGAAAACCCTTTATTAAAAAAATTTTTTATCAATGTTTTATTTATTATTGATAAAAATATGAGTTATTGACTTGAAAATGACTTTACAGAACTATATAGATTTTATAAACTAAAATTAAAATTTATAGCCTTCTAATAATCAATTCAAATAATTTTTTTTTATTTTGTAGTACTCACTAAGCTCTATGAAATAAAAAATGTTTATTTGAATTGGATTACTGAATAGCTATATAGAAATTTTAATTTTATTCAAAAAATTTACATAGTTCTATAAAGTTATTTTTAAGACAAAGACCCATATAAGCAATGATCATTTTAATCACCGAGTAATACATATAATACTTCACTTTGTTAATATATAACTACAATATTTTTTAAAAAATTGATTCTTTATATTGTACTTTAATATAAAAATTCCTCTAATATTTAGATATCTTATCTGATGATTATTTGGACCACATTTTCCAAAAAAACTTTTTACTAGAAAAAAAACAGTACACTAGAGTAAAGTCAAAGACTCTCATATAAGACATGGAAAAAGGGTCTGTAAGTTAGTAGCTATTATTTAGAGGTAGTTCTCATATACTACTTGCTAACAGCCTCAGAGTTTATTACTTACTGACTGCAGACACAGTACTTGTCATTTAGAAGTAGTTCTCATATACTACTTGCTGACAAGTTTAAAGTTTATCACTTACCAAAAAGACTTAGTACTGTGCAGGCTCAGGCAGTATTTGGTTCGGATGTTGTCCTATTAAAATTGCAGAGACACAGACAGTCCCGGATGATACCCATGTCCTGAGCAATATTCCATGTCCATAATAGTGTTCAAAGTCACATTGTACACAAGGGCTTATCAAATGATCTGATTGGCTGACAAAGTAGCCCTTATTGTAATTTAATTGCCCAGGACGTTAAAATTTTGGCAGACATGTCCAGGATGTCCCATTCCGGACTGTCCATTGTCCGTGTCTCTGTCCCGACACAACGCTGGGCTTAGGTGAATAGTTGATTCTAGCAAAAGAAAACCTATACTCTTTTATTGGCTTCAAGTGTTTTTTTTTCTCTCTCGCATATTGCCAACCTCACCAAAAATTTCAACAAAAAGTGGGCATTTGAGCTTATCCTCTTCAAAAGATTGGCATTGTTTACACAGTAGAATGCAACTACATGTTTGTTTTGTAAATTATTATGGCGCTACAGTATAGAAATGAGATCAATAACCCTATTTAGGAGATACCTGACCCTGGTGATATATCCAGAATGAGTTCCAATGTTAAAGCGAAGCTTTATAGCTTAGATATATTAATTAGTTGCAATTAGTATATAATTTTTATTTTTATATCTGGCACAAGTTATAATAGTGTATTTTGTTTCTTTTGTTTGTTTTTTTAAGGTGGTTCATCAGGACTCCTGTGTCTTTATTTCTGCTCTTTTCATCTTCGTCTTATTATAATAGAACTATATTTAGGACCCTTTTTTTCAGTTAAATATTTTTTTTCTTTTTTTGTTTTTCTCTTTCTTTTTCTAGATAGTTTTGTTTCTTTTATAGATGTGGTATATTTTTTCTTCCCTTATAGAAAAGTAATAGATAAACTATTCTGCCTGGATCTAGCTAGAAAAGGTTTAGAAAGAAGGATAGATAGTCTTGATGAGCTGGCAGACCCTTTTGGTGAAGATCTATTCTTTTTAATTGCAGAAGAGAATATTTGAAGAAGAATCTGCCTATAGCAAGTCACACATAGATAATTTGGACTCTGGTAAAGGTGGGTTAGTCATGGCAGAAAAATGTCGCAGTAACGTGATCTCTGACCTGTTCCGACTCTTTTGATAGTTCAAAATTAAATACAGATCAAAGAGCGATAGTATTAAAGTTATATTAAATCAATATAGAGATCTTATATATCAATATATAAGTTATATATGCTAATTAATATAAAGAATAATCCTTATATTAATAAATTTAATATAGAGAAATTCAATTAACCAAATATACTTTCGCTTCGAAAATTAATAAAGCAAAACTTGTATATGTTTATAGTATATTAATTAAAAAAAAATTAAGAGATAAAAAGAAAAGAAAATTTAAAATTTGATATAGTGAAACTAAAATTAAATTTGTGTATTTCAAATTTTAATAAATAAATATATAACAAATATAAATTTAAAGGCAAATTTGTATAAGTAATTTATCATTAAAATAAAAATCGGTTCACTTTTTAAATTAAATTTGCTATTCATTTATATACAAGGAAAATACAATACGTTTTATTAAAAAAATTCGATTTGATATTTAATTATATAGTTTTTTATTTAAAGCTTTTTTTAAAAAATGTCTACTTAAAATATTGCAATTCATGTTTCCACTAAACGATGCTATTGTTGTGACAAGGACAAACCAATTAATAAATTTATAAGGCAAAGGAGAACTAAAATACATGAATTTAGTTCTAACAAAGTTAAATCACTATCTTCAAGTTATGAAGATACACCATCCTTTTATATAAGTCATAAAGATATACTATCTCATTCTTTGAGTCACGAAGATACACCATTTTCTTTTTTAAGTCATAAAGAAACACCATCTCTTACCTTGAGTTATGAAAATACATCATCTCTTCTCTTGAATCAAGAAGGTGTATCATCTTTTTCTTCGAGTCATGAAAATATGCCATTTCTTCTTTTGAGCTATAAAAATACACTATTACTTTCTCTAAATCATGAAGACACTCCACCATTTTCTTCAAATAGAATAATGTCTTCTAATTTAGTTAGTATTGAAAACAATGAGGATAATGAGATTATTTATAATGTATGTGACCTTGAAGAGCTTATAGCTGCTAAATTTATAATTAAAGAACTAGAAGATTATATCAAGTTTACTATAACAGTCAAAATTGAAGGTGAATTAGTTAATAAAGAAAATTTTACCTTGAAAATTCATCAGTATGTAGAAGATAAAAAATTTCATGATGTGGTTAAAACATTACTTATACCTCTTCAATCGGGCTCTGGATATTACTGTAAACTTAGAAATCTATATTATAACAAAAAAAATAGCCAGTATATGGGTTGTGCAACAGCTCATATAAGTTGTATACAAAGAACTAACCATCAATATAAATGTCCAGATGAACAACCTGTAAAACGAATAAGTGAAACACAACTAGCTATTCAACATTTCTCATGCAATAGAGTAATTATAATTAAAATAGATTTGTGTGAACAACAGGCAATAATAACTGTTAACTATTTAGCACATGAACATTCCATATATAAAGAATCTAATTTGCCTATAGGCGCTATAGTATAGATAAAACAGAACATTAATAAAAATTGGAAAAAAATAAATTTTTATAAATAACTATGCAATGAAAATTTAATCAATTCAT